GTATGACCCCACTTCTGAGAACCCACTTCTCTTCCTGGTCATTAAAAAAGTTGGCAGGAGAGACTGACGAGCTCCGAGCGCCCGGGACACGCCGCGCAGGTGTGACAGACGCGGTGACAGACGCAGTGACAGACGCAGTGACAGACGCGGTGACAGACGCGGTGGGGCTCTGATCCATTCTGTTCTTCTGTCAGGGACCCAAGGATGTCTGGCGTCTACACCGCAAATGTCCGTACACAGCATGATTTCGGCAGTCTAGACAAACACCTGGCAAAATGAACACGAGAACGTGGATTTATTCGTTCGGTGTTTGTGAGATCCAGCAGGTGTCACCGACTGAGATTTATAGATGGGAATGCATATTTCCACTTCACTGGATTTGGGGATGTGAGAAGTTGGGGCACCCTGGGCAGCCCTAGACCAAGGTTCTGCTGTGTTAAAAGCAGTATTTTAAGTCTATATGTCAGTGAAAAATTCTGCCCCCCCAACATGAAATTATGAAAGCAACTAAAAAGCACCTCTTTGCCTCTGGGTAAATTGGCCCCAAAGGGAGGGGCACGGGCCCCGGGAGCCAGAGGGAGGCTTGGACAGGCCTGGCCGGAGGTCCCTGCACGGTGGTGGGGGGAGGCGCAGCTGGCGACGCTGCACAGAGACCCTCGGCACAGCCTAAGTCCTCTCCGGGTTGTCACAACTGTCCCATCATGAACCATCCCAAACGGGAAAAGGGCAGAGGCCCCCACAAGGCCCTGAGAATCACGACACACAGAGCAGGTGCCGTGGGAGCCCCAGGAGCCACAGTCGCCACTGCCCAGGCCAGCAGGCAGGCCACTGCCGTCGACAGCCACCCGTCACACCACGTGGCTGGGGCAGGTTGCCCAGCAGGCCGCTCGGTGCCCGGGGAGCAGAGTGTGTGGTGAAGTAGCTACCAATGTCCTAACCCTCATCATCGTCGGGGGCTAGGGCTCGGGAGCCATGCCTGTGACAGCGCCCTGGGCCCCGCTCGGTCCCGCCACTGAGACAGAGCTGTGGCTGCACCTCCAGACGGGGCGCCAGCCTTCACGGCAGGCGGCAGGCGGAGGCAGGGCACACTCCAGCCCTTTGCTTCCTGCCCCCAGGGGGCCCTGTTCCCAGAGCAGGCCGCACCCCGCAGCCGTGGGGGTGGGGCTGGGGCTGCTGGGCCTGGCGTCTCTCACCGCACGCCTGACAGACACCCAGGGCCACGGCATCTCATCAGGGGCCTCTCGGTGTGGGGCAGGTTCCAAGTGACCCTCGCCCAGCAGAGACCACTGCTGCCACTTAGTCATGACCTGGAATGGGACGCCTGGGCCTGGACGCCCCCCGAGACCAAGCTGCATTTCATACTGGGCAGCCTCAGGGGTCCTGCTGCTCAGGCGGAAGCTGTAGGTTCCAGACCGACCCCTCCCCACCCGGGACGCCGCCGGCTGTCTGCGAAAAGCTGAGCACGTGGGCCTGTGATGGCCCCTTCGGTCTGGGTGTCACGACAGGCTGCCTTCAGCTGTGCATTTAAAACGCGGCATCTGTGAAGACACCAGCAGGAGCGGGCGGCTGGCAGAAGGGACGAGAAGGCTGCGTCACCAGCAGGGAGCACCGCGGGGCAGATGGCGCACACCTTCACGACGCCGCGCGGGTGCGGCAGACCCACGGGCCACAGCAGTGGCTTGCGTTTGCGCCGTCAGTTGTGGAAACCAGAAGCTGAATTTTAAAAACGCAGGCTCCGTTGATAGCATAGTGTGGCAGGCAGCAGCCTGTGGGTTCCCCCAGTGCCTGGGGAGCTAAGATGCCCCAGGTCTATGGGGAGCTGGGCCTGGGAGGCCTGCCTGTGTGGGGAGGGGAGGCAGAGTGGGTACCAGGTCCTGGTCTGGCTTGCACGCCTCTCACAGACCCCTGCGGCTACTGGCCAGGGCCCTGGCAAGGCGGGGTGGGGTGGGCCGGCTGGTCCCCGCAGAGCCACGAGACACGGCTCCTGCCCACCTGGCCAGGGGGCCCTTATCTCCAGGATCCCAGGAGACAGAGATCTTTACCTGCCCTGCTGTTCATGGCCACCGATGGCTCCACAGCTCCCAATGGGCTGCTGGCCTGAGGATACGCCTCTGCCGATTGCAACAGCTCCCCTCCCTGCGACATCAGCTCAGGACGCCTTCCTGTTTGGGAGCAAAATGCACACAACACACCTCCCTGGCTTCCTGGGCTTCCCCTGCCCGCCCACGAGCCAGGCAGGGCACGAAACACCGCACGCGGTGGATCCCTGCCCGGGGGGGCGGTCAACAGACAGCGTGACCCACGTGGCATGTGGCATGGCAGGAAGGTGTCGAACTTCCTCAAGAAGAGTCAGGAGGCTTCGGTGGGACAAGAATGACCAGTATTGACTCACGTCGCAGGGTTTGCAAGCTGGAAACTCGGAGGCGACAAACAGCCAGGGCGTTCGGAAGGAGAACGGGAAGCCAGAGGTTTACAGCGCAGAGCGCGTTCTCGGGAAGGCTCGGTCCTGTGTCCTCCGCCCCCGGGCTGGTGGCCGTCATCGGTGTGTGTCCCACGGCCAGACGATGGGACGTCGTCATTCGGAAATCACCCGGATGGTGAACCAAGGGCTCGGCGTGTGTCCGGGAACCGACACGCAGCAAACCGACGTGCGTCCAGGTGTTGGTGCCGGACTGCAGAGTTCCCAGCGTCCGTCGAAACACGAATCACCATTTCCCCCTGCGCCGGCCGACTGGAGTTCCGGGACTCAGCACGGGGCTCCAGGCCCTTTCTTCACGCGTTTGCTCGGGGCATCTGAGGAACTGGACAGTCGAGACGACAGCCCGGGCGGGGGGCTGGGCCGCGGCAGAAGCGGGGCCAAGGACCAGCACCCCCGCAGAGGGGAAGGCGCAGCGAGAGGTAGCACAGCAGTTCGGTGGGGGCCCAGAGGGAAGGGGCGCAGTTGCTGAGGGAAGGAGCCCAGGCCCGTGGCTGCAGACAGGGCTGAGTCGGGGGGCCTGCCTCTTGGAAGGGGTGGCCCCTTGCTCCCGGCAGGCAGGAGGTCCTGGGTGGAGTGTGTCATCCCCAGCTTGGGGCATGGCCACGGGCTGAGATCTTCTCGGGCAGAGGAAGAGTTCACCAGGGCTGTGACAAGTCGGCCCCAGGCCGGGCTGGGCTGAGGCCCACGACGGCTCCAGAGGCCCCGTGCTTCACGGACGTCACCAGGCCAGCACCTGGCTCCTGAGACCACGTGCAGCAGGACCTGCGGCCGCCAGCTCCCTCAGGGCCGAACGGGCCCGCCCCACACAGGCCTGCATGCTGTGCAGACTGCCACCTTTGTACTCAAGCCCCGCCGTTCCCTCCGCCGGGCAGACCCTCGCCGCCCCACCCGGCCCCTGCACTCTCCACGGCTCAGCTCTGATGGCTCCCCCGACACACACCTCTCCCTGGAAGCCCCTGGGGCTTCCCCCTCCTCTAGGCTTTCGGGCCCTTGAGGCCTCTCCTCTCAGCGGCCAGGAGGCTGTGGGTGACCCTGGGTCCCCTCGGCCCCGCCTGTCTGAAGGGGCTTCGGCCTCTCTGGCTGACACTGCATCAGCTGGAGCAGAGGTCTGGGTCCTGGCCCAGAGCAAGCTCGTAAAGAAGGGGGTGGGGGAGGGAGGAAGGGAAGAGGGGGAGAGGGGGCTTCTGCCTGTCCTCCCTGTGTTACAGAAGGCCAGAGTCGTGGTGTGCCTGCCCTGAGCCAGCGGAGACCACATCTTCGTCACCTTCCCCGGGGCCAGGCCTGGGGCCTGGAGGCACCGCATGTGGTTCTGTGCCCAGCACATGGGGGCTGTTCCCTCCACCTGTTTATTCTGTGTCTTCATAGACAGAGGCCCCCCCCCTCCCTGCCGCAGGGCTGTGAGGGTCCCCAGGTGCTTAGGCCATGACTGTCCAGCATGGTTAGAACTAGTGGGGTCCCCATGCCTCCAGGATGCCACGCCACAAACCCAGCCCAGCGCTGAGTGCTGAAAGTGTCTCTGCTGAGCTGGCAGTCCCCGTGGAAAGTCTCCCGCTGGGTCCCAGTGGGAGGGTGTCGCTTCCTGGGTCACCTGCAGAAGCCCAGGGCGTCGGATCCCTGAGCCAAGTGCGGGGCGTCCGGGCCCCATGAGGACTGTAGAGAAGCATGCAGGCTGCTCAGAGCACAGGGGCCTCTCTGGCTCCCTGGGGTGAGGGCCCTGCTGGGTGGGGCTCCTCCTGGGTGGTGGGGGGCTTGACTGCATCTGTTCTCCCCGCCTGTGGACTCGGCAGGCAGAGGACGCTCCCCATGCATGTGCCCGTGGCCGCACGTGTGGACGCCGAACCTCAGGGCCGCGGGCAGGGAGGGGCAGAGGAGGCACTGATTCCCGGCGGGGTCGGGAACGACCCCGTTCTCAGCGTGCGTGCGTGCGTGTCCGTACACACGGGGCACATGTATTTTCTAATTTGAGCCTTTCTATCAGCTGAGCCAGGATCAGCAAGCTATGGCCCCCGGGCCATATCTGGCCCACGATCTGCTTTGTAAATAAAGGTTGATTGGCACACGGCCACACCATCGTCACTGCTTAGCTCTGCAACGGCCGGGTTGAGTGTGGGCGACACAGACTGGACGACCCGCCAAGTCCAAAATATTTGTCCTCTGGTCCATTAGAAAAAGTCTGGGGCTAGATGCCCACCCGGGACAGTGGCGAGGGGTCGGGAAGAGGGGCCGGCAGGTGGCGGATGGCCGGCCGACTGTTTTTCAGTGACTGGACTCTGAAGGCTCCTCCTCCCCCACCTAGGGTTCCACACCCCGACCGTCAGGCCCTGACATGCAGGATAAGCGCTAACAAGGGGTCAGGGAACGGCGACAGGCGGGCGGCGGGCGGAGCAGGAGCCTATCGACCGACCGAGCGTCCCCTCCAACGCTGCCTGTGCCGCCCACGCATGGCCTGTGCCGCCCACGTGGGGCGCGGGGCAGCTGGGAAATGCTCCGCGTGCTGACCTCGTCCAGCGTGTTTCTGGGGCTGCAGGTGGCAGGCTGGGTACGGACCATGGCCTCGCACCAGCTGTTGGTGGCTCCCCCGGAGGCCCTGCACGGGCCCCTGTCGGTGCGCAGCTGGCTCCTGCTGGGGCCTGGCCCCTCCAACGTGGCCCCGCGAGTGCTGGAGGCTGGGCGGCTGCAGATGATCAGCCACCTGCACAAGGAGATGTATCAGGTGGGCCGTCAGGGGCGGCAGACAGTCCCCGGAGCCACCACCTCGCTGCGGGAGGGCAGAGGACGGGGCCTGACCTGCGTGCCCACCGCCCCTAGATAATGGACGAGATCAAGCAAGGCATCCAGTATATGTTCCAGACCAGGAACAGCCTCACACTGGCGGTCAGCGGCTCGGGGCACGCCGCCCTGGAGGCTGCCCTGTTCAATCTCCTGGAGCCCGGGGACGCCTACCTGGTCGGGGTCAACGGCATCTGGGGGCAGCGAGCGGCCGAGATCGGGGAGCGAATCGGTAAGGGATGGGGCAGATGATGGGGTGTGGCCTTGAGCCATCCCCCTCTAAGGCTTCCCACCGCGGGCAGGATGCCTAGCAGTGCCCCCCGCCAGCCAGACACCAACCGAGGCCCTTCCCCAGCCCCTCTGTGGCCTTCCCCTGCCCGCCAGCCTGGGCGTCCAGGTGCTCGAGGGACCTCAGCATTTGGGGACAGCTGTTTCTGGAGCACGTCAGGGGCCACTGCAGAGAAGCCTCTGGTCTCAGCTCCCGCAGCTCCCTGGGTTCGCCAGGGTCACCTCTGCTCTGCCACAGGACAGCGTTTCAGAGGCTGAAATCCCCCCTCAAAATCTCAGACACAGCCCTCTTTCTGAAGCCACAGAATCCGGAGGTATAGCCAGGGTTTCGTCTCCAGAGTAAAATTTCTAGAGACGAACTGTCAAGCGCAGGCGTGTGCGGGCTTAGTGATCGATCGCGGCTTTGGAAAGCTCACAGCTCCTGCAAGGTCAGCGCCACACCGGCCGGCTCCCGGTTAATGGACAACCTCTGACGGCTCGAGGGGCCCCGACCCCTCGCCCTGTCCCCTAGTCCACACGCTGGTTTCAGGAGGAGTCAGGGTTGGGCAGAGGCCGGGCCCCCAGGCGGACCGTGATGTCCATACTCCAGTGGCCCTGACTGCCCGCTGCTCGGCCTGGACAGGCTCCTGCCCTGCCCAGCCCCCACACCCAGGCCTCGGCTCTCCCCTGAGGCTCAGATGGTCCTGGGCACCCCGCCCCCGCACCCCCGCTCCTATGCAGGGGTCTGAGAGAGGGAGAAGACAAGGAGCCCTCAGCCTCAAAGGAAGGCGAAGCCCCTCCCCCACTCACTCCTTCACCGAACCCGTGGCCTCCCAGACCACCCTCTGCTGGGGTGGCACCCACCAAGCCGGCCTCGTACAAATGCTCACTCACTCCCGATGGGAGGCGTGCTGGGGACGCGAGGGAGGGGCAGTAGACTGCGGCTGGCCGCTGTCATCCGGGGCACCCCAAAGCCCCAGTCCTTCCTGCGGCCGGCTCAGCATGGCCCCTGCCCTGCGCTGGGACAGGGGTGGCTCACTTCTCCCTGCCCCTACCCCAGGCGCCCGTGTGCACCAGATGATCAAGGATCCCGGAGGCTGCTTCACACTGCAGGAGGTGGAGGAGGTGGGCGGGGGACCCCGGCCCTGGGGACGGGAGGGGGCCGGCCGGCTGGGTGGGCTCAGGGCTGCGAAGCTAGGGCCAGAGCCTTCCCAGCTCCAGGTGATCTGCCACAGCAAGAGCCTTCTGGTACCTGAGGGCAGGTGGGAAGCCTAATAGGCAGGGCTCTGCTGGCGGGGAAACTGAGTCAGGAGCCCAGTCCTGTGGGCAGAGCCAGGGGCTGGAGGCAGGGGGTGGGGAGCAGGACAGGCCCTGACACTCGGGGTGCCAGCCCCTCCCCACCGGGCAAGGTCAGTCCCACCAGCCCAAGTCCTGGGCACTCAGTTCACCTCACGATGGCCCCAACAGGAGAGGCAGGAGGCCGAGGCTACTCTTCCTGGGTCTCTGGGACAAAGTCTTTCTCTTCTGGGAACAAGCCCCCCGCCAGAGCTGAGATGCCTGGCCCCCACCTCAACACACCCGTGGGCACCCGGGCCGCAGGCCGCACCAAGTGCAGGTGTCTGGAGTGGGTCCCGCCCTGCCCTCTTCAGGAAGAGTCCTCCTGGGAGGGGCTGGCCAGCCAGGGGAGGCCCCTCGCCTCCCTGGCTCTGCCCACAGCTGTCGCCTCTGTCCCTCCCAGGGCTTGGCCCAGCACAGGCCGGTGCTGCTGTTCCTGACTCAGGGGGAGTCATCCAGCGGCGTGCTGCAGCCCCTCGATGGCTACGGGGAGCTCTGCCACAGGTGGCCCGTCCGGGTGGCAGTGATCAGCCCAGATTGGGGTGGGCGGGGGGTGCTGGCAGGTCCCTCCAGCCTGGTGGCGGCATGTGAGGCCGAGTCCCCACCCAGCCTCTGTCGTGGTGTGGGGAGCCTCGGGGTCCTCCTGGCCCTGTGCTGAGTCTGGGGGGCACCGCCTTCCGAGAGCGGGGCCAGGCGTGCCCACAATGCCCGCTGCCCGCCGCGCCTAGCGTCTCATCCAGTGAATCAAGCTCAGGACTGGAACCTGCGCTGTGGTTCCTGCCGGTCACCTGTCCCTGCGTGGGCCCTGTGTCCTCTCCGGGCTCCGGGCTTCCAGTCGGGGGGCTGTTAGCAGACAAGGGCCCAGGCTGGTGCCTCTGGCCCCGGCAGCCCACGCAGCCCTTGCCCTGAGCCTCAGAGCTCCCAGCCACTCCCAGGCCCCCGGGCGGCCTGAGCTGGCCCTCACACAGCCTGGGGCTGCGGGCGGGGGCCTCGGCACCTCCGAGGTCCAGGTGGACACCACTCTGCCCCATGCTCCGGCTCAGGACGCAGCCGGTCCTGGGCCCCAGTGGGAGGTGGAAGGCTGCCCCTGCCAGGAGCCGGGGGCGGAGCTGAGGCCCCTCCTGCTTCACTCTGCTGCCCACCCCCCCAGGTACCAGTGCCTGCTCCTGGTGGACTCGGTGGCGTCCCTGGGTGGGGTCCCCATCCACATGGACCGGCAAGGTAAGGGTGTGACCCACACCCCAGCCACCCTGGGCTCTGAGGGGCCGGCAGGCCTGCGGGAAAGGTCTGGTCAGGCGCTGCCTCCCGTCCATCTGTCGGTCAGCCTGTTGGATCAGGGCCTCGCAGGGGCAGGGCAGGTGCATGAGCCGCTGTTTGCGCTGGGCCCCCAGGCACGGTGGGAGGCGGTGTGGGGAGAGGCTCCCCCAGGCCGCGCTTGGGGCGGGAGGTGCTCTGCACCCTCAGGGCCAGCGGGAGACGGGCAGAGGGCAGAGGGCAGAGGGCTGGAACGCCTCTAGTCCCAGCCGGCCTCAGTTTCCCCGCCAGCCTGTCACATGCAGTGAGCACCCTTGCCGGCCAGCCCAGAGGAGCCCGCCCGGCCAGCAACAGGGGGGTTATGGGCCACCCGCGAACCGTGCTGTGGAAGGGAGGTGCGGGGAGAGGCCCAGGCCGCAGTGCGGGGTGGCAGGCCCGTCCCCGAGGAGTCACACTGCGCCTCGCGGTCTGGCCACCCCTCCGTGGAAGGAGCAGCCAGGCTAAGGGGCTCCAGCCTGGGGGGCCCAGAGTGCAGACCCCACGAGGTAGCAGGGCCTAACCGAAACCAGGCCCCCCGCCCCCGCCCTGCTCCCACGCCCGGCGCCCCGCGTGCTTCGCGGGGTCCGCGTGAGGCTCCACGCTGCCGCGCGAGCGGCCGCTCTGTGGGTCTCACGGAGCTCAGGAAGTCAGCACCCCTCCCCGAGACGCCGGGCCCCTGGATTTGGGCTGCTGCACGTTGGGAGCCACCCGGGGCCACTGGGGGCCTTGCAAGGCGGGCGGAGCTCGGG